ACTCCCTCGTACGTTCGTCTTCGCCTACCACACTTATATATATATATATATATATATATACATAAGAAAAAAACACATTTTGACTCACTGCTAGATTGAACTTAACAAATAACCACAGCTAACCCCAGTTGGAAAAATACAATAATTTTTTTAGCAATGGACCATATAAGGTCAAAAACACATGTTTCCTTTTAGCTTTGAGTACCATTCATGAATGTCAGCAATTTTCTTACCCAAAGGATGTGATTTTCTTATAGGAAGGACACATTGCTGTTGGTACATCAACAAATGGAGCAACTGTCAAGATCCCTGGTAGGTGAGTACTGGAGTTCCTATGTCGTTTCTTGGTGTATATTGCTTTCCAGATTTTTTAACGAAGAAGCACAAGAAGAATATGAAGAATTTGTAAGATTTATATGCCCTGATATGTAAACCCTTGATTGTCATGACTACCAGGAAATTTGACTGCAACTCTCATTATGGAGAGATGCCTAGTTCCTCATCCTTTTCAAAGTGTTCAATACAAGGCTAGAGTCCTTTAGTTTCATACTATTTATTTTGCAATATAGAAATGCAATGGGTATGCGACTAGTATATTATATTTTGTGCATAGTTTGATTTGTGGGTTTTTTTTTTTTAAAAAAATAAATTGTATGGAATTGATAAGATTTAGTAACTGAGTGATGTTACAACTGCATAGTGTCATGAGAATATATGAATTCCATCACCTAATTTTATTTCATCATATGTAAGCTTCCATCTGTTTGTTTCCAATGGTCGCATAAAGCACTTCATTCACGGTAAAGGATATATATCATGATGTATGGTATATACTTGATTTATCAGTAGCAACTATCAAGAGATACAAATCAAATACCGACAGGGCACCCATTGAGGAAGTAGGGATGAGATTCTCAACTTCATTTTAATTTATACGTTATTTGTTTTGATAGGCTTGATTCTTTTCACTGACAGGGGGTAAATCTTTCTAAACACAAAGTTGAGCCCTGTGTGATTTAGCAGAGCAGTTGATCGACTAGCTCTCTATATATCTTTCTTATGTATCTTTCTTGAAGTCTGTCCTTTGTGACTCAAAATTGTTCACCGAGATCTCCTGAAATCCAATTTCTTTCCATTGTTCCTTCTTTCTCTAAGTACATATGCTTGAGCTTGAATTATCACTGGTTATTTCAGTCAAAATCCTTCTATTTAAGCTTTATTGATATTCTAACTAATTCTCATCCATCCATTGGGTTCTTCTCCTTGTTTGAGCATATTATATAGATCTAGTGTTTTTTATAACCATTTAAGTATGGGCTTTTATTTTCAGCCATCAATAGCATACAACTTGAAAAGTATACTATGGTTCATATGATCATGGAAGGTGTTATCACCGTCCAAGCAAGTGATGGATGGTAAATGGAACGCACTACATGGATAATGTCATCTCTCTCTCTCTCTCACACCCACACACACACAGTGGATGATAATAGCTATTACAGCCATGCTTTTTCTGTGATCTTATGGATCATAGTGGACTTCCCTAATAGGCAAACACAGAATTAATGCAAGACCTTTGTCAAGGATATAGTTTCAAAGGCTTTGGTTTAGAAACATAGAAGTTCCGAACAAAAATAAATAAATAAATAAAGGACGGTTTGCTTTCAGGGTGGGTGATGGGCCAATTGCAGGATCTGCAGCGTATGCTGATGATGAAGTCGGAGCTTGTGGTGCAACTGGGGATGGTGACATCATGATGCGCTTCCTTCCATGGTAATTTTGATTTTGCGAACACTGGGCTTAGCATAATATGCTTTACAGAGATGTAGTGTTCAGGTGTTTCATTGAAGGGGCCATATACTTCACTGCATTGCTCAAGATATTTGTGAGTTTTGCTCTCGAATTTTTATATGGTTTTGTATGCCGAGAGGGCAGTCAATTTTGGGAAAATTTAACATCATCTCAAGCGATCAGCTTTGCTTAGGGCTTGTTTAGATCCCGCGGAAATGTGGATCCCTCCGTCAAAGTGTATCCAAACATTATCATTTTACGGTTTTTCTTGAAACGTGATTTTCAGAAATCTGAATCCAGGGAACCAAACAGGTCCTTATCGAATACATTTCTCCTAGATTTCGGTTTACACCGTACACCTGGACTGTGTAATTATCTAGAGTTTACCAATATATGTTTAGGAGTTGGGATGTTTGGTAATGAGGTTGAGGTCGTGGTGGTAGCACCACGCAAGCCTTAGCTACCAACCTAGGTTTCTATTCCCACTTATGCATTCAAAAACTACTGACTATTTCTAAAAGGGGTAGGTTTCTATTCCCACTTACGCATTCGAAAAACTACTGACTATTTTTAAAATGGGTAGAGGTCTTTATTTTCCACTGATAAAAATATTTCCACTGATGCAATCGAAAACTACTGACTATTTCTAAAACGGGTAGGGGTCTTTATTCTCCACTGATAAAAAAAGTTCTTGAGTTGCTTAGGAGTACTCCTGGAAAAAGTTTATATACAATGCATCATTCTTATAGAACATAAAAGCAGGCGCATATTAGAAGCTCATGGCAAACGATTTTTATTGGAATAACTATCTAATTGGTCATCTTGTTAAAAAGAGAAGTCCTAAAAGTAGTCAATATTGTAATACATCATGTAGAAGGTTCATTTTTTATTTTTTTAAGTGTACGTAGATCTACCCTATTTTTATAACTTTAAATTTTATAATTAGCACTTTTAAGTGGGTGTAATTACAGGATGAGATTAAAATTTGGGAGGATTTGGAGTTAGAAAAATATGGTGAAACTTGAGATTGGAAAAAGCTATTTCATGATGGAAAATAACTTCCTCTGATTGGGAGTGCTAGGCAATAGGGGTTCAAAGAGGACTGGTAACAATACCATGACTATTTATTTTTTGCTGTGGTCTAAATTACTCTTATCTCCTTTTAATTAAGGGAAAAGTTTATATAGAGCCAAGGGTTTAAACAATCAAATTTAAGCCTACCTCAAAAATTTCACTAGAAGAGGTTGTTTTGATGCCCGAATATCCTCAAATTGATTATCTCGACATCAAGATGCATAGGTATGAAAAAAAATGGATTTCAAGTTTTGGAAATAGGGAATTTGTAGTGCATTTTTGGACTGATGCCCAAATATCCTCAAATTGATTATCTCGACATCAAGATGCATAGGCATGAAAAAAAATGGATTTCAAGTTTTGGAAATAGGGAATTTGTAGTGCATTTTTGGACCGTCAATTTTCATGATTTTCAAGTTTTCGTAGATCTATTGATCTACACTATTTTTGAAACTTTAAACTTTATAGATAAAGATGAAAATATATTTTAAGGCTATCACAAAGATTTCAAGTGTTGAAACCACATTTCCCGACACTATTTGAAGTTAGGCTCTAATTTGATGGTTTAGAGCCTGGGCTCTATACAAACCGCAGCCTTTAATTAAGGACACGGTCCCTATGAGTCCATGTAGAAATGAGTCACCTTTTCAAAATCTATTTTTGAGATGGATGTTTGGGCTTAATTTTTAAGGACATGTAATCTCTAACGTGGACATCATGAATATGAATAAATAAATAAATTTTGAAAAATAGATGTAAAAATTGATGAATAATTAAATTTAAAAATTATGAATATGAATAATTAAATGTAAAATTTTAACACTAAAAATGTAAAAATTTAAAACATCATATGGACATCATGAATATGAATAATTATGAATAATTAAATGTAAAAATTTAACACTAAAAATGTAAATATTTATGGATAAGGACACAATTTTATTAGTGAGAAGTTAGTTGATAATTTGTGGAGACCTTGTTATTTTGATAGTTGAAAATAAATTAATGTTAAATACAAATGTTGTTACGCTCGCATAAATAATATTAACAATTTTTTATAAGGGTGAGGTTTGTATAAGGTGTAAACTTTATATTATTGGAATTAAGTTGATAATTTGGGAAAGCACACTATAAAATTATGCCGAAAGATGTTGTTTGAATGGCGGATGGATTTACGATGGCATAAAAATCTATTGTTAATCATAATTATGTATTTTAAAACTCTAAAAATTATATAGACCTGCCATATCTACATACTCTTAAAAAATTCGAAAGTAGATAGTTCAGATAATAAATTACAAGATGCACTATTCATGTGATTTGAATTTATTATTATTATTATTATATTATTATTATTATTATTATTATTATTTGAGATTGAGATGATTAATTCGAATGTTTTCTAACATGGAAACAACCTTCTTCTTCTTTTGTTTTATAGGTTTTTGGGGTGTGGCATACTTCGATAGTATACGATTGACATATACTATAGACTTTTTCTTTTTAAAAATAATGCTGTATTCCAAAGTAATTAACAAGTAAACATTATTCTCTCTTCTTAGAATTTCTATAAACAGTAAAAAGTTACAATATTGAAACATAAAAACTAGTTTCTGTATGAACTGCCCAATACTCTCTCTCTCATCCTTTACATTAAGCAAGTACTTAAGCAACCCTAACAAGACACACGGCTTTGTATTGATTTTTTTTTTTTAGTTATTCTTCAGGTAGGTTGTATGGTTTGATATGGCACCAAGTATAATCCTTAAAAAAAGGTATAACAAAACTAATTACAAATAATTATGAAATTAAAGAGTAACTAGGAGCTAAATGCAAGTTGAATGTTAAATCATGGTCAAGTAGGTGATGCATGGATTTGAGTAACTTAAAATTATATAAAATATCTTTGATACTCTTTGTGATCCAGTTGAACATTTTTCATTCACTTTATGATTAGCTTCAAAAGAAAGAAGGAAATAATTTGATCTATTAAATGATTAATCTTCCAAAAAAAAAAAAGGGCAATGGAGCTCATGAAATCCTAGATCTCATTATTGATCAAATAGAATCAGTCATTGGAGCCCTTTTTGTGAAACAAGTATTTTTTAAAATGAAATAATTTTTTTTATATTATTTTAAAAATGAAATACTTGCATTGAAAATACTCAATAAGTTCTTACTTAAAAGCAGCGAAATATTTTATATGTAGGATTTTCCGTAAAATAGTAAAATATGGATATTAAAAAAGAACAAAAGTATGCAATAAGATTATTTACTTTTAATGCAAGGAAGTCTCAATCAACATCAGCCATTGAACTGTATCAAGAGGTCTGAAGTGGCCCATTGACAAGCTTAAATTATATTAGGAAATCTTTTAGACTTTAAAACACATTTCTTGATTGTGACCGCCTTGAAACAAAAATAAATAGTCTAATATCATATAGTCTCACTAGAAAAAAGGAAAATTTTTACATAATGTTGCAACCTTATATTATGGAAGCAAGGTATATCTCAAAAATCCAATAAAAAAGAGTATTCCGAAACTGGAAAACCTTCTAATTAATCATCTTGACTTTAAGATGTATGGATTGAAAGAAAACATGGAGTTTCATATCGTAAAAATATAGCATTTTACAACAAGTTACTTGGACTGTTTATTTTCAATACTTATGTTTATAAATCTACTTAATTTACACTTATTTAAAAATTTTACATTTCATAATTAGAGTTAGAACATGGATTTTTCAAGCTATAGTAAAGTTTTTGGTACTGTAGCTACATCTTCCAGTAAAATTTGGCGCGCCTTGTATATTATAAGGTGGGTACTTTATACAAACAAAAATGCCCAAATTTGGCTTGCTTTTAAGAGGTACTTATGAAATTCAGACGTTTGATTACCCAATATTTTATTAAAAAAAAATTTAAAAGGGAAAATGTGTGCAATCAAATTGTCCACTTCATTATTTTTTAAAAGACACCCATTATAAAAAGGAAATATATATAATAAGACTATTAACTTTTTGATATAAGGAGGCCGGCAAGTATTATTAACCATTAGTGTCATTGGAGCACAAAGTCCAACATAAAATTTCTTGAATACCGTAATACATTTCAACCGTCAATAGTTTTCCAAAAAAAAAACAAGTACTTCCAACAAGAAGGGCAACATTATCTATCGTGCAAGTGGTCAAGATTTACGAACGCAGGCTCGCTTGTATCAAGATACGCAACGATCAACATTAGAAGGGAAGAAAATAGATGGCCAGAAAAAAATAGATGGCCACGGTTACATATAGGTTCAAAATTTTAATATTCTTTTTACAAACTTGTTTCACAAGGAATTTTGTGTCTCTCTCTCCATACATCGGCAAGAGACCGCAAGAAACACCACCACTTAATGAAAAAATGGGACACGGGAAAAATAACGATGATTAGTATGCAGTTTTATTTCCAAATTGTCTCATTTGCATCTGTAAAAACTGCATTGTGATTTTCAATGAGGCACTGGACGACCTCGATGGCACCAAAGTCAGTAGGAATACCATCGTCCAGTGGGATCGATGAAGAAGCATCCAGACTCTCGTTGTCACCATCGTCTGAGAAAACAAGCAGAGCATAACAAAGGCATTTCTTCACAAGTCAAAATTCGATCCCAATAAATATTTGCAACAAATGATGAAATATTTATTGTCCAAAAAATTTACAATACATTAAGGAAAACATGAATTATAACCTTATAAAAATGCACCACATCATTGTGGATCAAAGTGTTAGTGTTATACAAGCTGTGATAGGAAAATCGACAGTGTTACCAGGAAGTTGAGCATATATAGTTTTTTTTAAAAAAAAACATTATGCAGCATGGATCAGTCCAATATAAGTTGATAGAATCCAAATATACACTTAATATGTAGCGAACAAGTAATACTAAGAAAAACTGGGAGTATCCGGTAGCAATTCAGAATTTCTATTCTTGAAGTTCTCTAAATAAATTCAAACATCGATAATTCGATATTAAATCCAAACATCAATAATTCGATATTGGTTTTGGTAATAAAGAATAACCCACTAAATAATCGAAGGGATGCAAAAGTTCAGATTTTAACATAAAAAATATTGAGTAATCAAACGTATGTAAAGCATCAGATTATAGTATAAAAATAATCAAAGGGATGTAAAAGCATCAGATTCCAAGATAATTCTCAATTACACAGGAATAATGCAAGTTAAAAATCATGAAAAAAAGCTCACCAGAAAGGTCGTCCCATGCGTCGTATGGAGGTTGATCCCTTAAACTAGAAGACCTATTTAACTTGAAGGGTACGCCCAAAATAGAGCTCGTCTCACCATTTCCTCCAATTGGTTGGCGTCTCCAGTCTCCTTCTTGGCAAATAATGGCTGGTGCCATTTCAATAGCAAGGCTACGAGAATCCATCTGCAAACAATTTTATGATATTACATGTGTCACACTGAACAGATGAAGAAATACATATGATAGAAAGAAATAAAAAAGGAAATGGAAAAACAAAAGTGAAATGGAAAAGGTACATGAGAGAACAAAGGAATCAACTTTGCAAACAGATCGAGCAATCTAGACCACTGAACAAAAAGACAATACATTAATTATAGAAAGGAAAAAGGTTTTAATGCCCCCATTGGAATGGTGCTCCACACATCAAAAGCCACTTTTGAGGTAGATGAGGGACCCAAAAGAACTCCAAATCACCTTCACATCCCCCATTGGAATGGTGCTCCCCACATCAAAAGCCACTTTTGAGGTAGATGAGGGACCCAAAAGAACTTCAAATCACCTTCACATCATGCTCCTTCAAAAAAGATCTGTTTTGGAGCTCCAAAACGGTTCCAAATCCATCGGCTCCACTACCCATTCAAATGGATGGTCCAGATTTGATTTTGGGGTAGCAATAGAGTTGGAACACTTTTGGAGCTCACATCTAGTTTTGGTTTTTATTTTTTGAGAAGATTGTTTTTGGAATAAAGGTGGAGTGGTTTTGGAGGGAGGGGTCCCTTCACCTCCTCAGGAGTGGTTTTTTTGGTTTTGGAGGGAGGGGGTGCACCATTTGGTGCTCATTTAGAAGCACCAATCGCTTTCCCTAAAAAATTAGAATATTTTTATTTTCCAAAATTATGTGCAATCAATTCACCTTGTTAAGAGACGATTTCTTGCTCACACGAAGTAGCAATGCTGTCACAAACTCTAGTGTTGAGTAGCTAGCATTGGGCAGCATCTTCAATGCATTTCTCATATCTTGAACACTGACTCGAGCATTCTTAATCTTATGGTAGAGTGCAAATGTCGTAAGGGGCTCAGGGAGACTCATTAGATAGAACTTCATAAGAGCTGCCACATCAACTGGGCGTACACCCTCTGGTAAAGCTGCATGCCAATCTGTAGCAGCAACAAGATGCTCAGATTTTTCTTTCCAATAATTGATAAACAATGCAATCCGAATTACTAGAGTTGAAGTCTAAAATGATATCAAAGTCCCAAATTAGCATGATTTTAAGGTCATTGACCTAAAAGTGATTCTCATTGAGTTGTTTAACAATTTGGATTCCTTGGAGAATAAACGGGACCAAACAAGTAGAACCACATTTGTGAAAAAAATAAAACAGCAAACAATATTCCCTGATTTGCAACCCTTTGCTTGTTAAGCTGTGGTCTGCGTTTGAAAAGGCTAGCGGAAACCTCACAAAAAATTCTCAACAATTTGAAAATTAAACCAATTCATACTGAAGCTGTGATACCTTGGTTGTAGAGAGAAATCAGATTCTGAATGACTTTTCTATCTCCTTCAGCTTTGAACAAGTATTCAGTATGTAGGCCTAAAGCAGCATCAAGAAAAGAACTCCAGTGTCAGAGTTTGTAAAAACTAGGTTAGACAAGAAATGGTTATGTAATGTCTCTTTAGGCTCAAAGACAATCACCTGATAATATGAGGTAATCAGCACACGTGACCAATACTTCAGGAATGGGCCTGCTGGATTGCTGTCTCTGTACAGTAACCTCAAGTGGGACTCCAAATACTAAAATCATAATGCGGTAAGGTTATTTCTTGACACATTGAAAGTGTATCTTTTAATAAAAAAATTGTAATAGAGATGAAATTTAAAACAATTTATCATAATGCAGTAAGGTTATTTCTTGACACACTGAGTGTGTATTTTTTAATAAAAAAATTGTAATAGAGATGAAGTTTAAAACAATTTAGATAGTTTTATACAGAAACACAAAACGTCAAACTTCAAAACAAAAAAAAAAAAAAAGAACTTTAAATAAAAGCCTGCTACATGGAAGCACCAAACATAAAATCACGAGGGTAAAACTCAACAGCAGTTAGCTGAAGTGGAACACAGAAATCAGGTCCAGTTCCCCATGATTGACTCGCCATAATGGGCTCAAAGTTCCCTCTTGTTTTTCATGTTTATTTAAGCCCAGTCATAAGAACATGAACAAAGTGGTCAATTGTCACTAATGGTCAGCAAAGTCACAAGCACACAGAAGCCTTAGCAGAATCTAGATTTGTTCTGAATGACATTTTCAAATACCTAAACATCACATATTTCATGTATTGGTTACCTTAAGATGCCAATGCAGCAGTGTATAGGAGTCAGGACTTTCTGGAATCCTGTAGGAAAGTTGGATTTCACAACAGTTAAAAGGTAAGACTGATAGACTCATGGCCATCATGAAAACCAGATGCTGATCCAGTCCAATGAAATTATAATTGGAACATTTGGTCAGGTTATGTTTTGCTTTTCTAATATTAGATTTGGTAGTATGCCATCATTCTCTTGTTTTGCACTACTATGAGGAGGCTTGTGATAGAATGAGATTGGGGACCATTCTTTGCTGGTCAACCATTTTGGCCATCATCTTGAGGATTTCTACCATGTCTTCTAGAGGTGAAGTTTGAAACTAACATTTATTGTGAAATTTTTAACTTCAGAGAAAAGAAGCGGACCAATAAGATTCAATAACCCACAGAACAGACGAAGATGACTGGCAACGTGAAGATATGTGGACAAAAGGTCAGAGATTGGTATAATAATTCAAATGGTGAAAGATATGCTGTACTCACCGTCATCGCTTGCTACACCCTGAAAATATGAAAAAAACAAGAGGTAAGAACCTACATCTATACAATAAAAAACATCAAAATAAAAGGCTCAATGTATACCCAAGAATACCTTTTGCCATCTCTCAAGGTTCGTCAATATATTCTTACTTTTACTTGCAGTCTTCTTGGCAGCCTGAAAAACTAGAAGTCAGGGCTCAAGATTGATCATCAAGGAAATCAGAATTTCTTCTTGAATTCAACAAGCAAGTATTCCAAGTGATATAATCATATAAGCACACGTATAGACAGAATACGGATGATCACTATTGCTTCTTAAAGGTCCAGCCCGAGACAGATCCTAAAGCACTAAGTAACTATTCCTTAGACATGATCCAAACCAAGCTAACAAGATTTAGGGTAGACAGAAACTAAAAGTTGTGCATTCAAGTGAGATGTATCTCAAAGTGACGTGCCTTGAGGTGGGGAATCCGCTCCAGGGACGTCACTCTGCTGCATCTGGCCCGTCCTCTAGGCACCTTTGGAAAGCAGGAAGTGTGACAATGTACACGCTTCCCCGGCCCTTCTCATCAATTGTAAGGTTTGGTGGCCTGAAATTGACTTGGCTTTGCCAAAAGGCCTCATCTCTAGAAGCCCAGCTTGCGAGGCATCCCCCTCATATTAGGGAATCTCCCCTCAGTAGAGGGTTGGATTATGTGATTATGCAAGGGATGATACCTAGGGCTTTTCCTTCGGGGTGTGATTATGGGGTTTCGCATTTCTTTTATGCTGATGATGCTGTGATTTTTTGTGAAGCCTCTATTATTACTGCTATTGCTATGAAAGGGGTTCTATCCAATTTTGAGATGGCTACAGGCCAAAAACTCAATGTAACAAAATGCAAGTGCAAAAAAGCATTTATTTTCTTCAAGAAAATAGGCAAGTTCTCAAGACTTCCCCCAAAACCCATACTAAACGATCAAGCAAGTGAAAATTCTTGTAAAAATTTCCCATAAACCCACACTGAAGGACTAGGCAATTTTATTTTTTTTTGACAAGGTGACATAGGAATGGAACTTGAGACGTAGTGCTATGAAAACCCATCTCCAACCGTCCTGACCTGAGCCGGATTCCTGAAAGGACCAGGCAAGTTACTAATACTTTTTCATCATCATCACCATATCCCTCCTTATAAGGTCCTAAAGGACATGAAAACCCCATGGCATAAATGCTTACTAAGTGATCCAAAAACTATCACAATCTCATTGCTCAAACTTCATATCATATAAGGAATCTTTAGATTCTATTGGACTGTTTTGTGCTCTTTCCTTGATGAGAATAAGAGAAATATGTAAAGATCATGCTGAGGATGGTAGAAAGGCATAGTGTTCAATTCAATTCAGTGCCTTGACTCTCAGTCTCCAAAACAACCATAGGAAGAACTCATATAAAGAAGAATGCAAGCTTGCAGCAAGGAAGCAAGTCTAGTTTCAGGACAATTCAGTCTATTCTGGACTTAAGTATAGAGCAAAGTGCATCCACAACTAGAATATTCTATATCATAGAGTTTTTTATCAGGCAGCGAAGAATATTTCTTCTCTAGTTGCTTTCAGTTTCTTTGGATGAAATGTTCATCATCAGAATGAAAGAGCAAGCCAGGGGTCAATGTTCATCATATTCACTAGCTGCTGATGCACTTGAGAAGAAGGGGCCCAAACAATCGAAGTATCTGGCTGACCTTGATCTTCGGACATGGCCCAATATAGCTATCATACATTGTATGCCTAACAGTAATTAGAACTACGTGAGCCTATAGTTTAGACTCTGAGAGATATAAATGACAGGCAAAATCTCTACAGTTCCAGCACTGAAGAAGCATGTGGTAAATAATCCATGAACCCATGCTACAAATTACACCACAATGCCCACGTTCCTTGTGATACATTTAGTGACGACTAAAAGTAAGTGCTTTTCAGGTTTTCCCACATAATAAGCTTCAGAAAAAAGAAAATACAAAATAAATGCACCACACATGTTGGTATATATGGATTTTTTTTAGGGGATCAGTTCCTGGTATATGTGGGTTGTACCTCTTCAACTTTTGTTTTTCCTATGGAAACCTTGTCCTTGGTCTCTGAGAGTACCTCTTCAACTTTTGTCTTTCCTATGGCCACCTTGTCCTTGGTCTCTGAGAAACCCTTCTTCAACAATGTGCTAGTCGAAGCAGCTGCAAAGATAAGGCGCTCTTGTACAGATTCTCGAGGGGCTTGTTGTTGTCTTGACTGCTGAATAAGAGACCATCTCTTCTTCACTAACGACCCAACTTTTTCAGCCACATCGACAACATTACCACTTGCATCCTTTGCAAATGACCCGGCAGATTGTCCTGCCTGTTTTAGTTTAAAGCCTACATACAATTAAACAACAAACTATCACATAAATCATCTAAATGGCAACAATTGCACTAACGGGACATCTTTTAGCAAGTCCCACTTTGAAGTTGGAATTTTTTATTCTGATGAATTCAGTTAAATAAATTCAGGAACAGTTTGAAACCTACCTGAGGATGAAAAGAAATCAGTTGCCTTCTCACGCCACTGTGGAGGGACTGTTGAAGACATGGGATTTCTGTTGAAAAAATATGCAACTGAACAGAAATAAAATAGATAAGCATATAAAAAATTACACATATTTCAGCACCTAATCTAACACTTGATTGTTAAACTAAGAAAACATCAGAGAGAAAAACTAGGCAATTGATAAAAAAGTAATAAAAATTCAAGTACAGTTACAAACATAATACTTCTCAAGCCAAAACAAACTTATGAATCATTTATGTAAGACCCGTAAAACCCTTTAATACGACCAATATGTTATCTCAAAAAAAATTGAATATAAATTTAAGCACCCAAGCAAATTATAACTCACCAAAGTAATACTCGTGGAAAGATCATGAAAACCATTTTTCTCACAAGCTCAGGTGATTCACATCTCCATAATTATTTTCTTTTCTATAGTGGAATCGATAGCAATGAATAACAGGATGTGTGGATCAAGTACACCATGTGTATATGAAGATGTATGTGTACAGGAAAGGAAAAAACGTAAAGGAAAACGAAAACTGTCTCAGAAGTCAAAAAAACAAATATTGTTGCATACAATCTATCAAATTCCTAGGGGCAATTAATATAGAAGTTATTACATTTACACGTCGCTTGTCCAAGCTTCTGGATTTCAAGAAGATTAGCCTGTAGCAAAGCCAATCTCTTTCTAAACAACATATGTCTGTACAAAGTAGGCTGTGATTTTTGTCAAATAAAAGGTAAAATAAGGTAGAAGCAAGAAAACAAACCAATTATTGAATGTATATGAAGCAATCCAGGTCATAAAACAACATTATAAATTCAGACAAAGAACAAATAAAGCAATCCTTGGATATCCAGGCAAAAATCAATATTATCCACGTTCAATCTCTTTAATTCTAACAAGAACAAAAATAATCAGAGTAAAAGATAAGATAATCTTGATTCTTTTCCATCAATTTATAATTTCAATTCTATTTTTTCTGTTTCCACAAGGCCTCTCCTAACCTGGCCTAATCGAGGTTAAAAACATGAGAACATGTTGAATATCTATAAGAGTATAATCAAACCATCACAAAGCTATCAGAAGATGAAAAACTGTGCTACATGAAAGAAATGAAAAACACATGAAACAAAAAAATATTAGGAATGTTGTGCGTATAAAGTTAACCTTTTCCTCAAAATTTACATCTATAAAGTTAACCTGTTTATTTGAGGTGGACATCAGAGAAATTCACATAAAAAATCAAATACCGAGAGAGAGAGAGAGAGAGAGAGAGAGAGAGAGAGAGAGAGAGAGAGAGAGTTCTGGGCGCCATCGAAGCAGAGTTTCCTTATTCATGATCTTACTGACCTTTATTCGATGGAACCAGACGTATTTCAGAGAAATGCCAAAAGTTGCCTCAAAAGAGCTCCAAGAACCACCAAATTCTATGGATGCTTAGAAACACCATTGCTGTCCTGCCCAGAGAGCTCCAAGCTTCAAGAACCCTGTAAATGCTATAGCTTCCAAAAAGCTCTCTGATCAAGATGGATCAAAGAGAACTGTAAAATTAGGGTTTCTGAGAATTTTCAGAGTGCTTTTCTGTTCAAAATGGGTGAATCCGAAAATATTGTATTTTCCACTTTTAGGTCAATTTATAGGGGCCAAAAATTGCTTTACTCCTTTGCAATTAGACCAACGAAGTCATGGAGCGTGCAATGACGAGGTCTATTGCCATGGTGGAATCTTCGCGTGACACGTGTACGAATATTATTGTTTGAGGATTGAAGGACTCCAACTAGACTAACCGCTCATCGTCATCCTTGGCTAAATTTTGCTAAAAAATTAGGGGCAATGAGGTCTTCAGAATTTCGAAAATGCCTATATTTTTATTTCAATTCACGGGAGGACCCGGTTCTCTATATAGAAATAAAGAAAATTATAGTAAATGTACTTTAATTTTCGTCAGATTAAGATAAATTTTTCAATTTTCATAAACCTCACCTGCATTCTTTTTTTTTTTTTTTAATATTTTTTACTAAAATAACTTTCACTGTAGTCATATTACCGTACTGACTACTGCATTACGGTAATGACCAACCTAAACATTACATTACTTTAAGTACCGTAATGACCAGGCTAAATATTACAGTACTTTAAAGACCGTAATGCTCTCTAAGTCTCTTTCTCCATCATTTTCCACATCTCATTGGGCTTTTACTTTGAGGTACGAAATCTTTCCCTTTTTTTTTTTCGAGCAAGTTTCAAGAGTACTTTGTCGCATTTCAATCAAATTGAATTTTGAGCATTACAACGTGCTTACGGTCTTTAAAGTACCGAAATGTCTTGAACTTTGAGCATTGCGGTGTTTAGCTTCGTCATTACAGTACTTAAAGTACTGTAAATCCTTAAAAACTAATGGAAAACTACTGGAAATTTAAGCATTATAGTATTTTAAGTCCTGTAATGTTTAGCTTGGTCATTACAGTACTTAAAGTACTGGAATGCTTAGTCTGGTCATTACGGTACTTAAAGCACCATAATGCTTAGTCATTACGGTAATACGACTATTGTGAAGGCTATTTTGGTCACACAAAAAAAAGTCACAATTGAGAAAAAATAGTGTGGATGAGGTTTATAAAATTTGAGGGTTTTTTTTTTTTCCAATTAGGTGAAAATTAAGGCATATTTTTAATAATTTTCCTATAAATAACTAGTGATTTGAAAAGCACATCAGTGACCCAGATTGGGTGCCCAAAAAACCGGTCCCTATCCGTGAATTGGCGATTCAGGTTGTCGTTTTACATTGTGAAAAAACAATAAATCCCAGAAAAACACGAAAAAAACTAATGAACCGCCAAAAAACCAGTTTGAATAAGTGAATCGGTAGTTCAGATCACTATTTTATTGCAAACAATCATCGTTTTACAATGCGAAACTGTCGACTCCCTTCTAAACTCGGTTATTTTCTTATATATACGTAAAACCTGAATGCAGTGATTGATTCCTTGCTCGTACGAGGCCCTCAAGAGAACTTCCTTTAGATATTTTTACCACCTTTTCATATGGGGTGAGGTTTGCATAAGGTTGCCTCCTTATACCGTAGAAGTCAGGTGTACCTATAAGATTTACTTAGAGATGTCGTTTTGGCATCGAAAATCTTATGACAGTTTCAAAATCTCTTTTTATCTCCAATTAGAAGTTTGAAAATTTTAAAAATAGTATATATCAAGCAAATCAATAAACACTTGAAAATCTTGAAAACAGACAGTCCATATGACTTTTTACAAGATATATTATTTTTTGAACTTGGAATTCTCTTTTTTCTTCATGTCCATTCATCTCAAGGTCGAGATGATTAGTTGGAGGGTTTTCCTATGTAGAAACACTCTCCACTTTAGGATTTTTGAGATGTACCTTTCCTCAACAGTATAAGGTTGCAACCTTATACAAACTTTTTCCTTTCATATAAGGGTGTAGTTTGTACGAGGCCTAAACAATCAAAGTAAATCGCACGTTCAATGTTGAAAGATGTTATTTTAGTATTAAAAATATTTGGAATGGTTTGAAAATTTATTTTCATTTCTAATTATAAATTTTAAAATTTTAAAATGATGTAGATCGAGCATATTTGTGAAAACTTAAAAATATTGAAAATTGATCGTCCAAAAAATGCTTTATTTCCAAGAATTGAAAACCATCTTTTATTATTTCTACATTTTAAGGTCAAGATGATCGATTTGAGGATTTTTGGGCATCAAATCAACCCCTTGTAATTAATTTTTGAGGTGAACCTTAATTTGGTTGTTTAGGGTATGAGCATTTTATCAATCTCTATGCATATATAACTTTGATCAAACAATTACTACGAAGTTGTAATTGTATCATTATTATCAGTTCACTAACAAATCTTAAAATATTTAAAAATAATGTACCTAGAGATACATAAAAAGACGTCACAGAAATAATATATCAGAAGGATACAAGGAGGCAATGATCAAATTTGAAAGCTTTTCATATTTGACCAAAAACTCCACCCAAACATTTCCATTGAATGAGGCTTTTCATATTTGACCAAAAACTCCACCCAAACATTTCCATTGAATGAGGCTTGCCATGTATAATTTAAAGTGTTGGTATGTTAACGACTTTATCATCACCAACCTTTTTTTTCAATTATTTGAGGTTAATTAAACAAATCATGGTTCGTCTTTCTGCTCTATCAATGACCATACCCTCAATAAAGCCATAAATCGCTATATATTTTTTCACTACTCCCAACCATGTCTTTTTAAACCAATCTTTTGTCCTTTTAATAGAAAGGAGTTTGGGATGAGAGAGTACGAGAGAGAAAAAAATGGGGTTAAGGTGGTCATTTAGCAAAGACATGATTCACCATTATGAAGTGCCAATTTTAGAAAAGGAGGTAGGTTTATTTTTTAAATAAAATAAAAATATTTATATTTTTCAAGAGAAAATGATAGTTAAGTCAACTTGGCCATATATACGGCCCGGAAGTAAAGGGAAAGGTTTTTATACTTCTTCTACAGCATAGAAGATCTATGTTTCCCCTACCATCCAACCGTCCAATTTTGATCAAGAGAGACACTCATCATTTGATCTTAGATCTGACGTCTCAAAGTATTTTATTTTTAGTTTTTCTTATATACAAATTGTATGGATATAAAATTTGGTACATGTCATCTTCTCAATGGGGCGCACCTATAAACAATATTAAAAATAATTTTTTGATAAAATATAATGATCAAAATACCCCTCAAATATTTTAAGGGTATGGTTATTTTATTTTATTGAAATTTTTTTTTTAATATTTTTCACTAGTGCAAGATTAATAGAGGATTGAACGTACAAAATTTGGTGTCAAAATAGTTTATATAAAAAAAAATTAAAAATAAAAAAATGTAGAGACATGACATTGTGATTGAAGCAATCTTAACCTCTATTCAGAATGGAGGATTGGATAAAAGGCAGTATATAAGTTTTATGCTGTAGGAGAAGCATAGAAAGCTTGCCCGGAAGTAAATAGTATAAGAAAGCAAAAATTATTTAAGCGCATGTACCGTGCTCCCTTGGAGCATATTGTACATTTACCTCTCAATCAAAACAACCACTTATTTCAATCTTAAATTTTGGGATACTGGATAAATAATTGAAGAAAATAAACAAATAAACAAAGTTATTAAGATCTGATCCGTGTACAATTTTAGGGCGTTATTTTTTTTGCATGCACTCAAGGATCTACTAAGCAATTTTTGTTTCAGTAGGGGCTAAGTTAAGTAAATCATTAACAGAAAATTTGGGGTCTCGAGAACAGTCCAAGTAGGTTTTGCATGAGGGAGCATATGTACATTTTGCTCTTGTGGGAAAGTATAATCATTTTTTATTCTTGTCATGCATGTTGCTTTCCAAATGAGATGGCGTGCACCTTAGCCGCCAATTTCGTCCATTTGGAATGAGCAGCCGAGCAGGTGGTTCCACCGATATATAAATATAAAAGCGCAAAAGCAAGGAAAAAACTTACGCAGAAGTAAGGTGAACCCAAGAAATCCAGTAGAAAAGAGTATCTCAAAATCGGAAAAAAAAACAAAAAACAAAAAAAAGAATTTCAAATCCTAAAAATAGTACATCATGTAACAAGTTACATGAACAGTTAATTTTCAAATGTTTATAAATTTGCTGGACCTGCATCATTTTTTAAAATTTTAAATTTCATAATAAGGTTGAACATAGATTTTCAAACCACACTCAGCCTTCTTCAAATGTTTTAATTTTAGTTTATAAGGTTTCCTTATCGATGGCTAGACTATTTTGTTTTAAGAGGATAAAATAAGGTTTTAGTGTACAATAGGTTTTAGTGTACAACATGGACATGCATAACTGTATATCTTAGGACTTTACTGAGACAATAGTCATGATACTTTAGAAACTCAAACTTCTCTTATTATTATTTTACCGACTCCGCACAAAAATATCTAATCTAAGTCACATAAATTTAACTTGATTTAAATTACATGTGACCAAATCATGTTTGAAAAGCCAATTTTAGAATTAATATTTTTATGATTCATATCAGTATCAAATGCTAATAACATAACATAACATAAGCCTTATAACAAGACCCGATTCTACATAGAATGTTAATCACATGCCATATATTGTACTTGATAAAAAGGTCACGCTACAGAGAAGATGCTATCTTCACAGTAATTCAGGGGTGTGGTTCTCTTTCGAGAAGGACTCCCTTCCTATCCACATGGATGGATTGAGGATCAAAACCTTACTACATATATCATTTCGACCACATGATTATGATTTTACAAAAAATAAATTTGAAGTCTTAAAAATGATCTATATTTTGCTCTAGACTCTTCATTTCAATTCTTCAAAAATCATCTAATGTATACCTATTTTTGAAACTTCCAAACTCACAGAAGAGTCCAGAAAACATTTCAAGTGATTGAAGATGTGCTTCAGGTTCTAAAACCTTTAAAACACTGGTCAATGCATGGAAAATATATACAATATGACCATTTACTTTTGGTATAAAGACATCACAATCATTGTTGACTGTTAGATGTGTAATCGGGCAGGTGGGGCTCCGCCCATGACCGGGCACAAAGTTCAAAGGAAACATCTTAAATTTTGAAAATTTTCCCCGGATATAAGATTTCACATCTGAGAACTAGAAGTGATTATGACCTTGTACCAAAAATAAATAGTCCTGTATATGATTGTGACCTTGTACCAAAAGTAAATAGCCTTGCACTAGACAGTCCAACCTTGTACCAAAAGTAAATAGTCTTGCTCGAGAAAGTCCGACATTATACCAGTGTGTGTATAGTTTTAATTTGTGGCAAGAGAGAAGTCTGTGCGTGTTCATACAATGCAAGTAAGGCAACACTCATATGCAAGTGTAACAAGGACAATTAAAGCATCGAAGTTCACCAATCCAAAAAAAGAAAATTCTAAAGCCAAGTATACCAAACATTGGAGAACTACATGGAGTTGTGATCATAGAATTCAAGAAAAAACAAAGATGGTGTATCCTTTCATGCAAAAAAAAATTATCAATTAAAACATAAGACCTAACGTTCTATAAAAATCAGGCTTACATTCTGAGACAGATAAGAGAGATGCAAATTCGCAAATCTCGATTTCCAAATCTCATAAAACTGACAGCATGCAAATTCCATTATAATCTCGATGCCACTGTTCATACCTATTAACAAACAAGTGAGAGAGACTGTGAAAGAAAGAGAGAGAGAGAGAGAGAGAGAGAGAGAGAGAAGAGAGGAGA